TGGCGCAGATCTTGGCTCGATTGAAGTCGTACTGGTCCAGCGGTTTGATCTCCGGCACCGAGAAGGTCTTCTTCATCGCGCTGGGAGAGTCCACCATGGCTGCGGTGTACCGCACCGAAGACACGGAGGCAGCAGCAGCAGCACCGGGGAAATGTGAGGAGGAGGGATGGAGAAGGAGGCGGGGGAGGAGGGAAAACGGAGGAGGGCTCTGCGATTTAGACTGAAGACAAACAAATGAATGATAATAAATCAGTTATCACAAACAGAGGGTTGATAATAGAAATGTGGTCTGCTGACAGATTTGTTTCTTTTAAAAAATAAATGTCACACTGGTGCCACCAAGCCGGCTCCACGCCCCCCTAAACGTCACAAATCAGCCAATGAGGATGTTTCTCAGATCGGCGATGCTCTCCGCAGCAGCACAAACAGCACTAACAAACCTCCGCTCCGGTTCACAAGAGCACATTGATGGAATTACCCGACGCCACTTTTCAGCCTGTAGACTCGGCATAAACGCGAGTAACAGCCTCCTTCCTCCACATGGCGGCGCCCTTGAGCAAGGCATCAACTCGATCACTCACACGATCACTCACTACATCTGGAAAGTATTCACAGCGCTTCATTTGTTCCACATTGTGTCATGTTACAGCCTTATTCACGTTCATTTTCACACCGTATTCTAACGCAGTAACCTCAAAGAGAAAGTGAAAAGTTTGCGTGAAATTCTTGCAAATTTTACCCAAGCGTCACACAAATGAGTAGCTTTACTATAGCCTACCGAACCAAACTACAGAAACAAACAAAAGATTTTATGATAAAAGCAAACTGAAGCACTCTGACACCCCCATGAACCTGTGAACCGAGGGCTAGACCTTACATAGATTTGTCACCCTAAGACCCTTACATGGTCTTGTTATCGATAGGTTTTTCCTCCCATGTGATAGTTAACCTAAAAACCACAGTCTGATGCTCTTATCTGGTTGGGCCCTTGGAGGTTGAAGGTTTGCATGACCACAAATTATGAAACAGCTGCCTGCAGACAGAAGAAAATGCTGAAATTCATTCAGTGCTGAAACTGCCAGCTCGGCACCCTATGAATTTAGACAACCAAAACATTTTAGTGAATATAACCAGTGTTAGGTGTTACAAACTCAGGAAACAGGAAACCACCCTGACAATCAAAACATCAGCAATGTGCTGCTAAAAAAGCCATGCTGCAGCACATCTTAAGTCTTAACACACAAAATCTCAAAGAATCTTCGTTTTATGGAAGCATTTCTCTTGCGGCATCCAGGAAACACAAGAAAACCGTTTAAGCTTGAATGTTTTAGAAAACTTTTGCACTGTGTAAGAAACTGCAGGAGCTGGATCTCGTGTGAGCAAACATCATGCCCAGCAACCTGCAAACTGCATCAGGAATCTGGTTGAAATGAAACTGGGTGACTCTGAGATTTCTGAGCTGAGAGGATAAAGACTGAGCCGAACAAGAGAGAGTGAGAATGTGAATGATTTATCTTCTGGATCAGCGAGCTTCCGTTTTATTTCAGTTCAAACCTTCTGTGACACAGGACCCAGGGTGAGGCGGTGCTTGACATTGTGCTCAGTTGTTGTTGAAGTTCATCCAAAAAGAAAAAAAACCCAAACAGAAAAGCACAAAGTTCAACATTGATCCACAGGGCACTCCGGTTAAATGTAAATGGACAGTTGTGTAAGTGCAAAACTGTAATCAGCAAACATACATGTCATATTCATAAGTGTCCATAATGGATTTTTAAGAGGGAGACATGCCTCTTTGACATAGCAGAAACACAAGCAGAGTCAGCTCTGGAGAATGTCGCAGAACAGGTTGGTTCTTCCAGGTTTTTCTGTCTGTGTTTGGTGCATGATCACATGAAAAAAGCCCAGTCTTTGTCACAGAGTCAGGAGGACAGCGGTGTTATCTGATGTTGATTCTTAAGAGACTTTCCATAAGGGTAAGTGTTGTGTAAATGTTCGTTATAAGCAAGTCTCAGGTTTAAACTCTGCACAGACGACACGGAAAGTCATTCAAAACATTTGTTCGGTCTGACTGTGGAGAGCACTCGCGGTACGTAGACTTCATTACCCTGGCATTCTGCCTGGAGGTTTTAGTATCAGATAATATAGTATGAAGAGGAACTGATCTTTGTTATACTTCTTTTACCTTTTGAAATATAAAAGTTGTCAGGTTTGATAACTCTTTCTGTTGTACTTCTACTACCAAAGCTACTTATTGTATGTGACAGTCATTGTTGCAAATAGCAGAGACTGAAGTGATAGTCCAGAGTGGAGTAACATTAGTTTGAACAGTGATACTATTTACATGTGCATTTTGAGTGAAACCTTAAACCCTAAGTAAATGTGACAGGAAAGTGTAATCAACACATCTTCAATGTGTGGTTTCTGGTCTGTGAATAGTATGGTAATTTCCATATATGGCTTGTGAAATTACCATACTATTCATATAAATCACCAAACTAGAAATTTACCGTAAAAGCACACTATATTTCTGTATATCTACACCTATATAAATACCTATCTATATTTACACTGGTCAAAAAAATTAAAGGAACACTTAAAGACATCAGATCTCAATTGTAAAAAAAATAAAAAAAAATAAAATCTTCTGGATATCTATACTGATACGGACTGGATCATGTGTTATGAAGGAAAGGAAACTACAGAGGGCTGAATTTAAAATACTGAATATCAAAGTGGAAAAACTATGCAGGCTAGTCCACTCTACTGAAATTTACTTGCAGTAACTCAAATTTGTCTTGCCCTCACATGCTTGTACACATGCCTTATAACATTGTAGCATGCACCCAATGAGACAACAGATGCACCCCCCCAGCTGGATCAGGGCATCACTTAGCTCCTGGACAGTCTGAGGTTCCACCTGGCTCCAATGGTGGAGCTGCCACTTCTGGTATTTTATGGTAACTGCCAATCAGCTGTCACAGTGCTGGGCAGGAGCCCACTAGAGGATGTTGAGCCTTGTTGGGCGTCTTTACCTTAGATCACCATCATTAATTAACTTTCTCCTTGACTGAGAACTAAACTCTGTAATATAATCAAATTAACCAGATGAGTAGGTAATAATCAAATACAGCCCTTTTCTAAGACCTAACACTGAAATACATTTAACCACCATCAGCTTGGAATGACCCTGCTGATGTTTTCAGTTTTCAAATTTTGCTTATCCCAAAACTCCAAATATACTTACACATTCTTACCTGGATGACTGCGCATGCATCAAGACACAGTTACACGTTAGGAGTTTTTATTTAAACAATCTTAAAATCTAGCTTTCAAATTGTTTAGGTATTATGTATGAGGTATATTTATAGCTGTGTTAAACTGTTGTAAAAAGCTGCCAGAACAACTTGTGCGTTTGTGCTGATCACATTTTACTTCTTCCTGCAGGTCAGCAATGGGTGGCTCCTCCTCAAAAACAACCATCTTTTGGCCGAAGAAGAAGAAGAAGAAGAAATCACCTCTGAAAAAGACCTGGAGTCAACTGAAGAGGGTGCTGCCTCATAAGAAACGCAAGAAGAATGCTCTGTCGCTGGACAAACTGAGTGTGAAAAAGTCGAGGAAGGACAAGGATTCCAAGAAGAAACCGTCACTGACAGCAAACAAGAAAGTGCCGACATTGCTGAAAGGACTCTCGATGGATTACACAAAGAAAGAGACGAGTCAAACTGGTTCACCGGGAAGGAAGGAGAAGGACAAAGGGGGGCTGGAAAGAGTTGGAGAGCAAATAAAAAAGAAACTTTCCAAGGATGAGAAGAAAGACCTTACCAGTCAGACAGACACTGTTCCTCGATCTAAGGAAAATAAGGCAAATGATCCAACAAGTGAGGCAAAGGTGCCTAAAAAGAAACTCAATGAGATCATACGATCCATTCGTCCAGCTGCAAACAGATAACAACCGCCTCCAATCTGGCAGGAAGACGTGACAACTCTGTAAACAGGCCACAGGACAGTCAGCAAGATACATGTTTTTAATGGCATCACTCAGAGAGCAGATTATAATGGCAGAAAACGTGTTACAGCCGTCAACGGTTCTTTTAAACATGTCAGTTTCTCCCAAAATCAATATTAATCAGCTGCAATATTTTACTCAAAAGCTTTACTCAGCAATAAAAACATTTGTGGATTATCATCCTGCTGACAAATGATGGGCTTCATCCCCCGGAAATTACTACTGAATACTGTTACAATATCAACCATTACAATGTCATTGCAAATTTAAGTTGTATATTTCTATGACAAACATTGTAAGTGAACATTGTTTCCACTGAGCAGAGACAATTTACATTATGCAAACACAAGCAGCATGCAGCGAGTGGAAAAAACCTAAATAAAAACAACAACTTGCATCTCATTCTTATATCACACTGGCTGTATATTAAAAAGAAACGCAACATTTGTAACCACATTTTTCACTGGCTGTAGATTTACAAGGCACGGCGCTTATTTTGACGAATAAAAGAAAACGAAAACTGTGTGTCATAACAGGCACGTATACCTTGAGGGATTTAAAAACAACAACAATCCATATAACATTTGTGACAGGAACACCATCTACAAATGTTGGCAAGAAAAAAATAAAGAAAAAGAAAAAAAAAAGGTGCTGCTGATTGGACAAAAAGTGTAAGAAACCCACTAAAATAGTTTTAAATCTTTGAACTAGTTTAAAAATATCAAACCTGATTAATCTATAACTTTAATGTTACTAAACTACTTATTAATGCCCTTAGAGTGGCCATTGGGCCCCTGTCTGAAACTATATCTGCACACACAACAGCTGACTGTTTACTCAAAATAACACAGGCCAATAAAATCCATCCTCCAGGACTTTACTGTTTACTTTTTAAATCAATCCACGTTATAAAAGTCATGTTTCTAGTATTTTACACACACACACACACACACACACACACACACACA